GTGTACTGTAGGCTTAAATTTATTTAACGTTATGTTTTATGTTTCAATTTGAATTCTACGAAGAAATCGTTGAGATAAAGTTATTCAGTGTCAGCAAAAATATTACTTCCGATAACTACGCAGACGAAGTCGGCGGCAGAAGATAATATGACAGTACGACAGGCAACGCAGAAAGTTTGTGAAAAAAGTTTTTTTTTATAATGACTGTTATAATTTATTTTGAAAATACAATTATTAACAAGTATACAAATATTAATATTCCAATTTGAAATTCGAATTCACATTTTTTTCGAGTTAAATTATAATATCGTGTTTCATTTAAAAATAGATCAGCGACGAGAATATTTTAGTATGATGATTTTGTAAGATTTTAAATGTCGCCTAAAACCGGACAAATCGTTCGATAGACTTCAAATGACATTTATGCGTAAAGGCCCCTCTAAGGCAATTGTGTACCGCTGGTATGAGTCGGCACGGTCGACTCTCTTTGAGAGATAAAGAAAGAAGTGGTCGACACGTGTAGCGCTGTTACGAAAGGAAACGTATTAGCAACCAAAAATTTAATTGAATAGTTTCAGCACATATTGCAGATCGAATCCGGGAGCAAGATTTTACACAACCAGCCTATGTGAGGATGATAATTTTGCTTTGGGTGCCGCATAACCTCACCGATGCTCAGAAACAGGCACATGTGTAATGGTGGCATGACATGATTACAAAATGTTAAGGCTAGCGTGTTTACGTTATATGTATGATCCAAGATACATCACTAATAACGTATTACTGATGAATCTTGGATTTGATTTTCCTGGACAGTACGCCAATTAAGCTTTTGGGTCAAGTACTGTGTAAGTAAATGTTTGTGATAATATAGATAATAAATTAAGTCCAGCGATTGCTCGCGAGGTCGCGAGTCTTCTTAATGTGTCTCCGACAGAATATCAGTGCTGCGGTGAAGCTCCGCGATGTTAGCACATCATGTGCGGAATATCGATTGACCAATTATACCATCTGAAAGGTCAGAAATTGGTCATAAAAGGTCAGTCGGTCTTATTAATTGGTCAGCGTTAGAATTTTTTTCATTAAGGGTTAAAGTTTTTCAAGGTCATTGAGAAATTTTAGCACCTCATTCGCGAAAAATATAAAAAATAAAAAAATATGCGCGATTGAGAAGCATTCGCTGATAATTGGTCAGCTTATATAAATATTTGGTCAGTTTAATTTAATATTTAAAAAAAAATAAGTTGGCATTTGGCATTGTCGTAACGCGCATGCTTTGGGACGGTTAATTGTATCAGGACAGTGAACACTTACGCACAGCTCTTTACTATGAGCGAGACGGAGGGGGGGGGGGATATTTTTTATATTTATTTGAGAAAAAAAACTTAGACATTTTCTACTATGAAATATGTAATAGTGGAGAAAGAAATAGGATATTTTTTTAAACTACGTAAACGAAATGGGATCAGCTACTCTTTTGACCATTAAAAGAAGTGGGAGTCCGTATCGTTCAAACGCAGACTTCTTCTTAACCATAGGATAATGAAGTTAAATGAAACTATTGTTTATATGAAAACAAGAGCGGCTTTGTAGAGTGTAGCTTGTTGAGGCAGTGTAGAGATGTCTGTTGGGCTGGATGCAGAGCGAACGATGAGCGAATGACGAGTAATGAGCTGGTAATGATTTGGGTCGCTCACAGCATGCCTTTTATTTCGTTCGGTCAGTTGCACAACTCGTACAAGCGCCCGTGAGGCGCACATGCTCCATTTGACCAATGAACAGACAGGAGTGTGCGGGGGTGTATGAAGTATGACACATAATTCATAATTCTCGGAGCTCTGCGGTAACTCCGTTATTGTAGTATTATGTAGAGTCGGTAGCTTTTTCTACCGACTTCAAAAAGGAGGTACTCGATTCGACTGTACATATGTTTTTGTTGTTACCTCATAACTTTTTTCTGGGTGAACCGATTTCGATGATTCTTATTTTATTTGAAAGCTGGTGCTTTAAATTGAAGTCGGTTGTACATAATTTAAAATTAAAAATTTTGTACAACCAACTTCAATATAAATTATTAAGAATAACTTAAAAACCATTGGTCAAACCTTGATCAAAAACCTTGATTGTATGGGACCACATAAGAAGCACCAGCTTTCAAATGAAGAAAGAATCATCGAAATCGGTTCACCCAGAAAAAAGTTATGAGGTAACAAAAAAAAACATTCAGTAGAATTGAGGACCGTCTCCTTTTTGAAGTCAGTAGAAAATTTAAAATTTAAAATTATATTACTTATAGTAGCTGCAGTCAGAGTCACAGGAGTAGATAACTAATGTGCCAGAGTGAAACTTGGTATTTTTTGTTAAAGTAATTGCACCAATGAATAAACATGTTATTTCTTTCTTGTCTTTTCTTCACTGAAAAAAGAAACAGCTAAAAGGGATATAATATTCATCGCAGGAAGGCGTGCTTACAGCGTTTTAAGACACTGGAAGAGGTGTTCGAGGCGTACTGGAAAATATGTGTGTGATTGTGAAGTGATTTTTTTAAATGAAGTTTTCTGATCTCAACGCGGGCAATAGCTAGTACAGTATGAAAAGATTAATTAGTGATTTCTTATATTTACGCGAAGACTAGACATTAAATGAAATTAATTTTTAAGGATTTTTTCGCCTTTAATTTGACTTTTTACTTCCCGACTTTTCGGGTGCTTTTCAGCACCCGTGGTCACGGGAGGGACTGAGGTGTTTGACGTCCCGATGTCATAGTTAGAACGACTACCTTCAGTTTTTGAATATTAATTTTAATTATTAAGCTGCTATTTTACGCTGGTATTCTGTGACCCATTCGTGCTACAACTATACTACTAATATAGCTGCAGCATGGCTCTACCACGTACGCGTATATATTGTGTATAAACTTTATTGTGTATGTAGATATGATAGTTTATCCATCCCGGAAATTATAGGTTATTTTAGTTAAGCATCAAAGAAGGTAAATCGGATTGAAGGAGAAACTTAACTTTTGTGGAAAAAAATGTTCTCTAATACATTGGTCTACATCCTGGTCGACGCTCAATCTGCAAACGTAAGTTTTTTTTTATATAGGATAACTATAAAAAAAAAATTAATATAGTAAGTGTAGTCCACCTGCTGCTGTGGCCCATGGATATCCACATCCATCCTCGATCAAGAATCAAAATGCGTTGCCACCCCTGAGGACTAAGATGGAATACCTCGTTTCCAGTAAAAAGGAACTCCGGTTCTCTACACTCACCATATGAAACACAGCAACATTAAGCTGCTATTTTAGGCTGGTATTTTGTTAGAGTGTAGCCCCAACCCGGTCGAACTGAACCACTACAACCATAATATAGCTGCAGCGTGGCTCTACCACGTATAAAATTTAAATAAGTAATTAAATTTATCATCATCATCATCATTACAGCCCTTCACAAGTCCACTGCTGAACATAGGCCTCCCCCAAAGAATGCCACAAAGCACGGTCCTGAGCCACCTGCATCCATCGACTTCCTGCATGTCTTACCAGGTCGTCACTCCATCTCGTGGGGGGACGCCCTACACTTCGCCTACCAGTACGAGGCTGCCACTCGAGAACCTTTCTTCCCCATCGGTTGTCGGTTCTTCGAGCTATATGGCCGGCCCACTGCCACTTCAGCTTACTAATCCGTTGGGCTATGTCGGTTACTCTGGTTCTACTGCGGATATCCTCATTCCTAAGTTTATCACGCAGAGAAACTCCAAGCATAGCCCTCTCCATAGCTCGCTGAGCGACCTTGAGCTTCCTCATACGGCCAGCAGTGAAGGACCACGTCTCACTTCCGTAAGTCATCACTGGCAACACGCACTGGTTGTACAATTTCGTTTTAAGGTTTTGAGGTATGTCTGACGAGAAGATGTTTCGTAGCTTCCCGAACGCTGCCCAGCCGAGTTGAATCCGTCGAATTAAATTTAGATAATAAGTAATTTCAAAAATTTATTTTACTTGGTTATAAGTTAACGATTTTCGGATTTTCCATTTACTTGTGCTGTGAGTCAAATTTCATGATTCTAGGTGAACAGACCCCTAGAAGATTTGATGAGTGATTTTGCGAGTATCAGAATATGTGACATAGATGGCTGTATCTTTTTAAAACTTTGACTTAGACCATAGTATTTGATATTAATATCAACTTAATACTTCTACCCATTGCTGGGAAAACAGGCCTTGGTAGACGGACGTACAGAGACAACGTGATCCTATGACGGTTCTGGTTTTTCGTTTTAAGGGACGGAACCAGCGTTCCTAGACAATTTTTCATATAAAACGGAATTATGAAACCTTTATTGTAAAAATACCGGATTCATTCTTTGAAAGCTGGTTGCAATAAAAACGAAACTAAAGCAATAATTACTTTTTACTGGCGTAATGAAAACAAGAAATTTTTTGGAAAAAAAGTTCGGACTAATAAGCGGTCGGCCAGTTGAGCCGCTTGCTTAATTCCTGCACCGTTGAGAAATTCCGAAAAAGCGGGACAAATTTGTCCTGCGTCTCATATTTATGAATTGGCTAAAAATCAGGACGTCAAACCAAAAGCGGGACGTTCGACGTTTCGTAAGTCCGTAACGGAACCCAAAAAATCATACATTTCCACAAATACGGTTACGACTTACGATCGACAAAGACCAACAACGACCGACAACGTAACGATGAAGATGGAGCAATTGTTAATTCGACACAGTTCCGTGAATAAATCATACCTAGTTGCTGCAGATGTTATGCTGTACAATTTATAATACATATATATAGTAGGTACGTAAAATCCGCGGAACGCCCAGCGTTGTCAGCTCTAGTGTCGTAGTATTGAAAACATAAGAAGTATAGTCTAGTGTTTCACGGGATGGATACTAAGATCTATCACCGGCATACGGTGATTGTTAGAGAAAAATTGGAACCTGGTAGGTAATTATTATTGTAGTTGCGTTGTTCTGAATTGCGATTCAGTCAGCTGTCGGCACATGAGGCAAATGCACGTGAGTCGCGCGCGCACCCGGCGTCCGTTTTCGTATCGGTTTTCGCGTTACGGAATAACGTCGCATTTTTAAACTGTGTAAGTGCCTACCGGTTTTATGGGAAAGTGTGAGTGATTCTTTATTTCATATAATAAATAACCAATTTCTTGTTCATCTGAACTGTCATTATTTCATATTTTATCGATAGTTTATTTGGTGGATCGTGCTAGTTAATTATGCCGAATTCGGCTTTACGATGTTTTAATATAAGATGTATGTAACCAATTTTAGAATGTGTGCAATGTTGTGTTGTGATAGTGAATATTAAGGACTCACGTGTTTTGAAAGAAACACAAGTAGTAGGTAAGTTTTTGATTGTATTTAAACATAAACTTGTTTAAAATAGGTGCAATTCATGAGCCCTCTTTTTGTAACTTAACTTTTTGTAACTTTTGGGTACCTGTACGTTTAATATCAACGCTAAATGAAACTTAAAAGAAAAGTCAGAAAAGTAGAGTTAGTTATGAGAGTAGAGTTGAAATCGGATTATTGATTCCTTTTTACTTATTTGGTGCAATATTAATAATTATTGGAAATAGTTATATGGAATAAGTTGAAGTCTTAACATCATATAAGCTTGTACATTAAACTTCAATGCTTAAATTTATGGTAGAATCAATATCTTAATATACTAAATAATAATACACCATAATATTATGGCACGATCTATGCAAATTGGATCGAGAAAGTAGAACCTGGGTAGGTAGGCATAGTAAGTTATGTTGCAATAGATCGTTAAATAATTTATGATTTTATCTTACCTACTTTTATAATTTAACGAAACATTGTCTTACTTTAATTGTAGGTTAAAAATTCTTATTTTTTTTTAAATTAGTAAAGTTTTTTTAGGAACCTTTAGATAAACAAATTGTCGTAAAAATTGCAACAGAAATTAATACTTTTTTCAATTGTTCTTCTTTTTAAATTTACTTATTGCATTTATATAATTATTGAAAAATAGTTTTTATAACTATGTTGGAAAATCTTTAAAAGTTTTAATTAAATTTATCTGATGAGTGTCCGTTTATGGATAAAATAAATATGTGCATACATAACAACAACAGGTCGCCCCTTCGTTGTTAATTGGCAGTTTCGCTTTTTTATAGGTATCATGTTGTAACGCTTCAAGGCTTTAAAATATTTACTATTTTCATATTGATGTTTATGTTTTGATAGGTAGGTTACGTTAAAATGCAGTAATAATGGGATCCTTAAATTATCATTTCTCTGCTTCCAGCTATAGTTACAATCAGTTATCGCCGGACAGGTGATAATTGATTGTAACTGTAGTGATCGCTCGGTTTTCTTCACCCAAAAGTTTGTAGGTAAATAACCTATATTCAAATTTATTTTTAACTACGACAAAGACCTACGTTACAGTCTAATAATGTCATTTTGTGTAATAATAAATTAACACTGCTTGTTTTAAGTTAATATTGCGTGGTTTGAAACGTAGTATAGTTTTCAATAAATCTGATTTAAAAAATATTTATATACCTACTTATTTATCATTTTAAACTATATAAACCAGAGAAAATAGGTCATAATTTTTTATTATTTAGAACAACTCAATTAGAAAATAATTTAAATTATTTTTATTATACTTATAATCTATTCCTTGTTAAATGGGTAGGTTAGTTTTAAGATTCTATATAATTATAATCATATAAACAAAGAAATCGCGGCAGTCGGGGTACCTCTGTTCTGACAGATAGGGATCGGATGCGGATTGGTCAGGATGATGGTGCAGTAGACACCTATTGCTTCCGATAATTTTAAAAGAAAAACTTTATATTCGTAATTTGCGCCTTAATACAAAAACGGCCAGTAGGACATTATTATCTGCAAATTATCAGGTAAAATCTCAGTTTAATCCTATATTGGAATTAGTTTGTACTTAAAGTGAAAAGTTTGAAACATTAATATTGTCGTAGATAAAAAAAATGTTTAAGAAAATTTTTATAGTGCAACTTTCATATGAGAAAACGTTTAAAGCGATGAAAACCTTAATTTTTTCAGTCTTTGGTCTTATCATTATCAACAGCATTCCTAAGTCTATTGGACTGGACATATACCTTTCCATGTTTGTGCCAACTGTCGTGAATAACTTGAAAGATTTGTCAATACTCAGCTACAGCGTGTCTCTATTCCATTTCACGTGGTCACGTGATCACCACGCTGCAATTATAATATAATTGCAGCACGAATGGATAGGCTCAGCCGGGAAAAGTCCACGCCTTCACAGAATACCAGCGAAAAATAGCAGCTTAATAGTGCTCTGTTTCGTATGATGAATGTAGAGAACCGGTGACTCTTTTCACTGGTAACGAGGCATTCTATCAGCACATATAGCACTCAGGCTGAAAGCGCATCTTTATTTTGATTCTTAATCGATCGATAACAGGAATCGATCCTTATCTTATAAAAGAAAACTCATCAGAGTAACTGTAGAGCCGACTCTAGCCTGATAATGATGCTGCCCATACCAGTTGTAAAATTTGGGTTTGACGTTTCACATAGATTTTTCACCATAAGTCACCGCCATAGCTTCGCCCGTACTTGGAAAAAAAAAGAAAATAATTGCAATTCATTCATTAGTAGAATAGATACGGATTCTCAGTCCGCCATACTGCTTGAGTTTGCATTGGCATATTTAATATGCCCGCAATTCTTTTTACTGTGTATGTTTCCTGTTGATGTTTCCCTTTAGAACCGAGCACGTGGTAACTCATATTTTATAAGGAACAGGTTTGTAAATCTGAAAGACTAAAGTGGGTTTACCAAATACCTAATCCCAATAACTGGGTTAACGTTTTATGTTCACGGTCTTCTTATTATTTATGGTATATAAAAATGTTTACTTTTTGTAAACTTACAGGTGAGACTTTTTACAATCCATAGTTGATCGAAATTAGTTGGTCGGCAGTTGGCATGCCTTCAGTGTTACCAGAAGTTTGATTATAACAGGACGGTCCTTATTTTCTATATCTGTTGTGGACTGTGGTTTCTAACGTTAGTAGTATTAGATAGGTCTTAAACACGGTTGCTGATCATGAGGTCTTGGGTTTGAATCCCGGTCAGGCCAAAATCAGTTATTGGGTTTTCAGTTATTCAGCTTGGAGTCAGGAATTTGGCGGTGCTTCACCCCCGTGTCTCAGAAAGTACGTAAAGCTGTGGGTCTTACGCCTGATCTCTCTTCGATCGTGTCGGATTGTGGTCCCATCAGACTATCAGAGTTGAGCGAATAGAGAGTGCACCTGTGTTTGTGTATACACTTGGGTACTATAGTCTTGTTCTGCGCAGATGGCTAGTCTCCGTTGAGACTGGCCGCCGTGACCATAATATAGTACGAACGATTTACCGATATTGCGACGCTGGGTAGACGGATTGGCGATCGCAATCCTATTTTCACTTTTGATGCTGCTTTTCGTTGGTTATTTTACACACGGTGTAAATTGATAGTTTATAACGCCCCGAAAATGTGAGACGCCTTACAAAAACATGGTGAGAAGGTTTTAGCGCCTCAAAATTCTTATTAAAAATTTTTTGAATTATCTGTTTCTGCGAGTTGCTACTTTTAAAATCGCGTTTCTTTCATTAATATTTTGTCTACTTTTAAAATGATTTCCGGGGAGGTGGCGTCCAAAGGGCAACAGGCCGAAAGAAGGCGAGGACTGCTTTTTAGATTGAATAAACAATGCAACATGTAATTTGGGTTATAACATTGTAGCTAGGGCACATTTCCCGATAAACCAACGACATCTTTCCAAAATTGTATTTCGGTGGTTATCCTTGCTTAGTAAGAAAAGTTTAATTATTCAATTTGTAATATTATCGATGATGTTTATCACATTTTGATAAAATGTGCCCAGAACTCAAGAGAAAGAGCAAATTGTAATTTACATTTGTCCTTGACTGGTAGTAGTAATAGTATTTTATCGGACCCGATATCAGATGATGCCATAAAACTATATTTGTTACTTAATAAGAGATAAGTAACTAGTAAGTATAATAAGTTTATTTGTAAGTAATTATTATATTTAAGATTTTATTGTAACTACCAGGGCGGCATAATCGCATCAGCGACAAAGCCCTTTATCAATGAATAAAAAAAAGAAATATTTATACCTCACTTTTATTTAGATTCAAATTTCTGTACGTTTACTAAGTCGAAAGTGCATCGCTTCCCTCGCTATACCTCATGCATATACGCTTTACATGAAATTGATTTAATTTTACTAAAATAAAAATCTTGAAAATTTCTGTTGTACCCGTAATCCAGTGTTCAAAGAGAAATATGGTAACTATCTCATCGGTCATTCCAGTCATCGAGCTGCAGAACCAATTCTGAATTAGTACCGCTCGAGTTCCCGCGACCTTCGTCTAAATGTCGTCGCAGAATCGAACTGTCTCGTCTGTCGTTTCTCTTAACTGTAAAGTGAAACTAGTTTGCTTGCCGGTCGTCTCTTTAATAGGTTCGGACGCGTTCCATAGGGTTTTTCTTCCTATACTTTTTCTGTGGCAAAAGTGTGTTGACGAGGCCTCGCTCAAAGCACCGTAGTGTCGCATCCGGCCTCATTCCCTATCTTAATATTTGTATGGATATAACCATCTGAACCTCTTTTCTATATAATATATAACACCCATATAGGGTTATAAGTACTTATTTTATCTACGACAAATATTACGGGTATTCCTATTTCCTATCTAAGATTTTATTCATTATATTATATAAAATATTGGATAAGAATATATAAAATATAGAATATAGATATATATATATAAAATATAGGAACCTTAAGGATAATTTTGATAATCTATTTACTCGACATATAAAACGCGCAAGTGCAGTGTTGAGCAACCTAAGTGCAGTGCTGTATTAAATTGATGTAAAGATAAAACCTGATAGACCTGATAAAACATGCAGATAGTCGACGGATGCAGATGACTCGGGACCGTACCTACTTTGTAGCATCGTATGTAGGCGGCCTATGTTTAACAGTGGAGTTGAGATAGGCTGCAACGGTGATGATGTTGATGATGATTGTCGTATTTGTCATTCATTAATTACAGTTTCTTCGTATGTAACGTATCTACTGTACATTTCTTGACATCAAACAAAATAGACTTTAACTAGTTGAATAAATATTATAATATTGTACGTACACGTAATTTTCCGTGATGGGAGCACTGAACTCTTGATAATTTAGCTATAGTAAGTAGCCTTCCATGAATTTGCTGCGTTTTAAATTTAGTTTCAGTTCAGTTAATCTTGAAAGTATTTAATGCAATTTTTTCAAGTT